TCCCTCTCCGCTCCCGCCTCCCCCGCCCGGGGGGCGGCCGCGCTGGGGCAGCTGGGGCTGCGGCTGCTGCCGGACAACGAGGTGAGCGGGGCTGCGGGGCCCCCAGGCCGCCCCCGCATCCCGGGGAGGCACCGCCCCGCCTCCGCTGCCCGGGCTCGGCCGTAACGGGAAACGTCGGTTTACGTGCAGGAGGGGAAACACGGCGTTGAGGGCTCGGCCACGCTGTTTTACATGGTGCACTGCGGGAAAGCCTTGTACAACAACCTCCTGTGGAGGAACTGGTCTGCAGGGGCCCTGTCCAAAATGGTCATCATCGGGAACAGCTTTAAGGGGATCGAGGAAAGGTGCGTGCAGCCCCGCGGGGGAAGGTTCTGGCGCCTCCAACAGGCTTTCCCTCTCCTCGCTTCCTTCACTCCTTTTTTTCTGTCGCTTCTGACAACGATGTCCAGATTTTGCTCATTTTCAACTTGCCGTCCTGCTTGCAGTCATCAACGTCTCCTACCTTTTCTATCCCTCACGCCTGTTGAGAAAAGCTCTTTAAATTCACAGGAGTGTCCTGTCTAAAGCTGGTTACCTTGTGTTATTCTAGATTGTTGTCAAGAATATTGGAGAGAGATTATTCTTACATAGCAAAGGTACGAGTCACTAGTTTTTTAACATTACTGTTTTGACAAAGCACCTTTTAATGACAAAGGAAATAAAGTGCAATGGGAACAAAGAGGGTGGTTATTTTTAAAACCTTTTTTCCTGGCCATTACAATATAAAAAGGAATCACTTTAGGATCGTTCTACATTATCTGCAGAACACGCTGTACCCAGGGGTTGGGTTAACATAATGCCATCCTCATCTCCACCGACTCGTAACTGAACTTTGCAGAAAAGTTCTTTTGCATTGTACATAACTTCTTCCCCAAATGCTCTTCAGGTCTTGAAAGGGACAGAGGAAGTGGCGCTCCCCACTCACCCTCGGTACCTGGACACCTTTAACGACACCTCCGTCCACTGGTTTCCCTTGCAAAAACTGAAGGAACTCTCCCCTGAGGTCTGGGACTTTGTGGAGGAGCCGACGTACCAAGACTGCGACGACTTGGAGATCATCAGAAAGGAGGACGGAGCTGACCAGCGCAGTCCCGCTGCCGCAGAGTCCTGACCGCTCTCGTGGGGCTGCCTCTCTTCCCACAACAGCTTTTGTGTAGCCGAGGTAAAGCTCAAGCACTGACAGTGTCGTCGTGCTCCACCAAAAGTGGCAGCACTCGAACACTGAGCGTGATGGGACATTTTTGTATCTTAATTATTTAATAAAAGGTAAAGCTGTGTTTTGAATTATACTCAACTTAACCACAGTGTACAAATTTAACTAAAATCTGCCTTTTAAGCCATCCGTACTGCATGATTGCTCTTTTGATCCCCTCCCCTTTCATGAACAATTCAAAGCCTTTGCATGTACTACGCACATTTTGAAGCATCAGGAAGGAGGAATTATTTGAGACGGGTTTGCAGTTGAACGTATTGGTATCTAATTCCAAATGCAGGCTTAGAAAAGCCTTCTTACAGGCAGGGGCCTTCAGCTGCTCAGTGCTACCAAAATCAGCTCTTTATCTGTTCTGTGAAGAATCAGGTCATCCCCCTCTATGGAAAAAAAGCCTCAGTTTCCCTCCCTCACCTCTGTGCCCTGAACTGCTGCAGTCCCAAGGCACACATTCTGTGAATTTGCTGGAAAAAAATACCCTCCCTTCCAGCTCTGCGGTGACAGGGCAGAGAGGGCAACCAGAGCGGCTGGTGGCCCGCGGGCCAGCACCGGGCTGAAGGAGCCACCAGCACACCCGGAGAGAGGTGGGACGAGTCCCGGCTGTGCGCAGTAGAGAGGAGCCCACTGCATGAGGGACGTTGTCGGGACGGTCACTCACTGCCAGAGCAGTGCAGCAGGCAAGGAGAAGCTGTGATATCTCTGTCACTGGAGACCTTCAGGACTCAGCTAGACCAGCCCTCACTCATCTGCTGTCGGAGCAGAGAATCACCTCCCACGGTCCCTTCTAACCTGCTGATAAACCTCTATCACAGGCGGTGGTTACACGAGCATCAGAACTGCTCGTTCCTCCCTTAGCACCAGCCTCCACGTGTACTTTCATCTCTTGACACTGCCTGAACAGCTCTTCTAAGAAAAAAATCCTGGGATACAGCTACAGTTTCACTCTATTTACAAATCTGTGGCTTCTTTATTCTGAGACAGTTACACTAAAAATATTAGCAAGATGGCCTTCAGAGTTCAAAGTGGGGGCCTCACTTAGCCATGTCAATGAGACTCTGGAGGGAGGTTGGCACCCAAGTCTTTTCTCCTTGTACAAACACAACACCTCTGTCAATGTAAATGACAATCCTTCCAAATGTATACAACTGTTTCCCTTCGTGCCGCTTTCCAATCACAGGCATGAAAACAATGTTGTGCTCCTCTGCTTTTGTCTGAATTAGGTCCTTAAAGTTCATTGGCACGGAGCTGGCGGCCATGCCGATGCCACGCTGGGCCATGTTCTCAGCCTCCCGACGCTCCTGCATGGCTTCGTACTGAAAGTCTTTCCTCCGCTCGGTGTGCGTAAGGTAGGCGATGTTCTCTCGAGCGCCTGGCTGCATGTACCCACCTGTTTGAAGAGACAAAACACGTGAAAGCAAGGTCCCAGTCCATTTCTGGTGGAAGGTCTATGGGTAAACTCCAGTCCGGGACACATGAAGTAAAGTCAATCAATAATGCTCTGAATCCTCCTTCACATGTTCCAGTTCATAAAGTTTTATACTGTTATTGCTAATACAACATAGACTAGCTAGATGAATTTGAGAACTGCAGCAGAAGCAACAGGATTTGATACAATCCCAAACTTTATCTGAGCACGCACAGGAGAGGAGGATGCTACTGACAAAGGGAAAATGTGAGCAGCAAAAAAAAAAAAAAAAAAAAATATTCCTCAAAGCCAAAACCTGGCCTCTGGTCTCCACATACCACTGCTGGGTTACAAACAGTGACTGTTGCAAAATCGGGCTAAGGATGGAACAGCACCACGCTGCAGGAAGCAGCACTGCATCAGGAGTGCTTTCGCTATCAGCCCCAGTTCACTCCGTGGCTACGTGAGTACCATGCCTGTTCTCCATAGGTGACCTCCTCTTGTGCAATGCTTGCCTGTAGTTGTATTATTTTACCACAGAAATAAACATAACACTTAAAATAGACCTCGAGGAATCCTCCATGTTTCTGATGCAGAGTCTCCATCACACTGTACAGCAAGTGGGTAGGAAGAACACAGGAAAGGAGTTCTCAGTCTTGGAGGACAGGGCAAATCTCAGGTGCTGCTCCCTCAGGCACGGCCTTCTCTTTTATACAGTTTATAATTCCCAGCAAATTCCTAACAATCTGTTTTAGGTCACAGGGAGAGTCATGTGGAAGGAAAGGGCACTGCTCTAAAGTTAAGGAGAAGAACCAGTATCTCACCGTAAAGAAAAAAAATCCCAACAAATTATAGCTTCAGAACTCAACGTCTTTAAATTATGGTCTCTCAGTGACTGACATAAAATACACTATAATTGGGCAAGGCTGAAAGATAATCAGTTGCTTAGTGGCACAGGCAGCCAGTCACCAAAAATCTGTTTCTGCTTCAGTGAAGCACAGACAATTATTAAGTAGCACCTTACAGGTGTTATTTATGGACACAGCAAGGTAGAACACACTTTGAATTTCACTGCTCGTGGGAGCTGCTACAATGCCGATTAGAAGGGCCATGCCTAAATACAGACTCACAAGACGCAAATGTTGCTGTACTGCCATCACAGTAAGTGGAGCCATCACCATAAGCCACTTACCAACACTGGAAGAGACAGCCCGGTTCATGATATCAAGAGCTTCGTTAAATTTGTCTTTGATCGATGGATGTGCTAACACTTGGTCTGAGAACATGGACTTCCAACCCAAGTACCACTTTGTAATCTCTTCATAATTGGGGCTGTTACTAAGCCAAGAGCACAGCACCTGCAAAACAACATGACAAATCAAATGCAGCAGGACAGGTACGTTTCTGGAAGACTCCTTATTATCACTTAACTTGCTTCTTACTGAGCTTTCAGTAAAAGAAAGGACCGTGGCAGTATTAGGACATAGCCTGTTCTGACGTGTATGGAGCTGTGAGCAGAAATCACCCCATTTGGTAGTTAAACCATTTCAGTGCTGGGACAGCAACTTCTAGGCAGGAGTCACTAAAACACTTCACAGCGAATCCAGCCTGTTTACTCAGCCTTGATAGTTTCTCACCTGCAGCCACTTTGGGAAGAAGTGTTTCTCCAGCAGCCCAACAAGACTGGAGACAGAAATCATCCCCTCCCAGTCAATCACCCAGTAGAAGGCATCCATGTGCTGCTGGTGAGGGTTTATGATGAGTTCGTTCAAACACATCCCTGGGAAAAGGGGGAGAAGAATTAAAGAACTTGACTCACATTTTTATCAGTGCCCTGACCTATTTCACTAGCAACACATGTGATTTGAGGAGCATCTGTATTGCATATTACCCTAAGGGACATTTGGGATCTTTAAAGTGTTTGGATGATCCCTGCCACCAAAACAGTGCACTTCCATTTCCAGCAATTACAATTTGCTGCCAGAACTGAGAAACTTAAAACATTTGACTGTTTTTTTTCAGACTACAGGGCCTTTTAGCCAGTTTGCATAGCTGAATGGTGAATTACAAAATCTTATGGTGAAAGCATTAGCATAGACCAAAGAATACAGGAGTAACAGAGAGACGTTTTATAGCTTGGTACTATCTGACAGCTATCAGATATTCCTGTCAGCTGAAGAACAGAGGAATCGGATGATTTAGAAAAATAAGACAGAAAATATTGAGAATAATCAGAGCACTTCCCCACATTTCTAAAATGTCTGCCTCTGAAAAAACTGCACAGTACTAGTAGCAGAAAAGAAGATGCAAGCTTGGTCTAAACTTACTAATAATATTCTTTGAAGTAACACTGGCAGCCATGTTAACACGTTCTGTTCTAGGTGTATGGGGGAAGGTGGCAACCAGCAGATTCCAGAAATTCAGCACTATTTGGCTTGTCTTACCTAGTTTGGGCACGATGTTTTTAACCATGAAAGCCTCCCACGACCCAGGTGTGAACACATCTTTCCAGGGCTGAAGGATAAGTTTGGCAGAGGAGTCACTGGGATGCCACTTCTGCAGTGCATTTGCCAGCTTGTTTCGGATGGGAGAATACAGCGGCTCTAATCGTGCCTGCATCAGGGGGAGCCAGGGATGGATCCACGAATGGATTGGGACTGTGTCTGTCAAAGGATTCCAGCTTTCGACCTTGGGATAAACCAGAAAAGATGAAAACAAGTCGATCCATTAGCACTAAGTCTTGCCAGATGCAAAAAGAGCCATAATGCAACACCCTAACTGCTAAATGAATCAGCAGAGGCAGCAAACCAGTATTTTAGATGTTCTAATAAACTGAAATTCAAATACTGGTTCAGAGCACGGCTTCGTTCTAATGCAGCCCTCTCGTCTTACCTCTTTCTGTAGCTTGGGGAAGATGAGCTGATCCAGAATATTATCCAGTATCCAGACAGGAACAACGTTTACCCAGCTATCCAAGAAATCCACCATCGATCCACAGTTCCTCGGTTGCCACTGCGCCACTATGTTTCTGACATATGGCATCCAGATTTCCCACATCAGTCTGGAAAAAAAAAAAAAAAAAAAAAATCAAAGTTAAGCTTAAAGCTATAGCCCCAGGCCTAAACAAACCAAATGGTAACTGTTATTTAAAAGCTACTTCTTTTTATAAAGCTGACAGCTGGAATTTAACAGACACATCAACAGAATCATCTGGAAAGCACACTTGTATCTGTTCTTTTCCATCCCTGAGGAAGCAGCACTTGAAGATGCTGCACAAAGTACAACTTATTTGCTCTTTACCTGTGAAAAGCATCTGTTGACAGGTCCTGCCCACTGTGTGATAACAGCTGATCGTTTTCCAAAAGGCTTTTCCACTTGGCTATGATCTCCGTGCCATACGTACAGTCCTGGAAATGATAAGGCATGAGCAGCCTTTATCCTTTTTCATTAATTTCAGCTGGTATCTATAAAAAGCAGGCTGATGGTATGCTCGGCT